AAATGCCAAATGCCAAATGATGGGGTGTCATTTGACCAAATGACTCCTAATCCGAAAAATGGTCAAATGACCAGGTCATTTCCGAACACTGCTTTAATGATACGTTAGTTGAGTCATATACAGGACTCCGAGAAATGTATACTGTAAATAGGTAGCAACTCATTTACTATCCTCTCTTCATCAGGGCCAAAATTACGTAATGCCGTCTGGCATTATCAAAAAAGGATGAACTACACGTTATTTTGGTTCATTCTATCATAGCAAACTTCATATTGTTACCTTTTTGTGTATTGCTCGGGTCTTTTATGTATACATATAATCATTTATTTTTGCTCTCAATTCATTTTTTGTTTAAGTTGTTCCGACATTTTCATTAATATCAAACTTCCTTTATTTTTTGCGAGGTCTAATTTGTGTCATTGATGCATAAAATTTATTAGTAGGTAATATCGTGCGTGTTTATGAAAAGCTTCCAAGTTTAAATATATTGTTTATATCATACTGTAATCATCTAAAGGAAGTAATATGTATCTATATAAATTAAATATAACTGTGAGAGAAAGATTATCTTATCCGCCATTTTTATTCTGAATATATAGCAAGGGAAGGATAAATGTCAATCTATAATTATTTTAATTAAAGCACACTGACCAAGTTGAGGAATAGAAGAATAGAATTCTGATAAGGCCACACAAATTCGAATTTTCGGTTCACTTCACCCGGCCGGGTCACTTCTTCAAATTTCAATAAAAAAAAGTTTATATATAAAAAATTTATCACATGATCAGGACGTAATTTTATTGGCGAGTAAGTTTATCACGCGGCTGATAACTTCTAGAGCGAAAATAAATTCCTCCCTTTTAAAGTCAACCAATCAAATGTCACGATTTTATATATAAACTTTTTTTACTAATAAACAATAAACCCCGGGTCCCCAGGTCGATTTTAAATTTCAATATTACGTGAACCGAAAAATTGAATTTGTGTGACCTAATATGGACGATGATGATCTAATACTAGTCAACCTAGTCAATGATAGATAATCAGTACGTACGCAGGATAGTTAACCTCAAAATTATTATATAATAGAAATAAATTAAGAAGGCGTGTACGTGTATAAGCGTGTTAAGGCACAGTAGCTTCTAAAGAACAAAAAATTTTGGTAGCAACTAGAAAACAAATAAATTTATTTTAACTTATGATCCTTGCCTACCTTAATAGTTTGTATACTCATGTTACCACTTTTGGATGCATCGTGAACACTGAACATTTCAAGGATATTCCAAGCACCATGCCTCAAAGATATAGTAAGATGTGATTAAATTTCACTGTTAAATGCTGCACCACTTATCTAATCAAAAGAAATGTCAAAATTGAAAATGTCAAAATAATCAAAAAATTCAGATCTGTCATCTTGTGGTTCACACCTGTGAGCTATGGGGAAGCGCCAAAGCGATCACATCATTTTGGAATATATTAAAATTACCTATTGTAACCATTTACACCATTGTAAAGGCCACCTGGATTTTAATTATTTGACGCCACTCATTTTCTGCGATCACGAATTAGTGATCGACGACCAATATTAAACAGCACGTCATAATTTGGCCATAATTAATTCTGGCTAAAACATATAAAATATAATTCGACCAGAATTAAGAAAAACGAAGTAAACGTGATACTTACTGTACTTGGATTAGGGTCGCATTTCTGGATCTCAAATCAAAAAAAAAGTGTTACCTACGGGTATTACCGTTTATATCCGTTTATTTTTTTATCCGGGAAAAATAGGACCCAGATATACTATATATATATATGGGATGGAGTTCTAATGATACGTCGCCATCATAGTATAGTCTGGCAATGTAAAGTTTTGGTTTGCATACAGTTTACTGTAGGGATTTTTTGTTTATAGTCAGAATTATCATTTTTTTATAAATTAAGTTTGCTGTCATATAATATTCTGTATTTATTATAGTAACTGATACAAGAAAAAAAAAAAATTTTTTTTTTTAAAAATATATGATTATTCCTTAAAGAGTAAACATATTTGTGGTTTTCAAAGATTTTCATACATTCATTCATACAGATCATGATGTCTCTTTGTAATAAATTATAGGAGTACAAATATATAATAAATATAAATTCTTCGGTTGGATTGGTTAGCGGTCATACCCGGACATATATGTATCAATAATTCAATATAATAAAAAACGGATACAATCGGATAATACCCATTTTTTTATTTCAATAACCCGAATACTCATAAATATCCGAGTATGCCCGATTATATCCGGGTAAATGGTAACAGGCCGCAGCACTAACTTTAAAAAAAAAATTCATAAATTCAATAACTTACGTATAAGCAGCTGTCGTAACTCTGTTTTGTAAGATATTTTAAAGAAATTAATATAATTTAGAATGTTGTAAAATTATTTTGTGAAAATTGCGGATTTTCCGTAAAAGTTAAATCGCAACGGAATAAATAAGACCCGAAATATACATAAACAGGTCAGTTTCGAGTTAGAGTACAAGCCAAAAAATTATGAAAATCTTTCCATACATATATTTCGGGATTGTATAACGGTAGGCATTGATAATACTCCGATATTCTGTTTGATAATACTTTTTTTTTAGTTTAAAGAGATGGTCCTTGTAGATGATTTTCATATTATTAAGCCAACATTAACCGCCTAAATCATTATGCCGAATCATCATTGGTGACGAGTGACGATCAATTTATTGTCATGTGCTAACGATGGTATAACAGATAACGATTAAACACAACACATAAAATAAATAAATAAATTCTAAATATTATGATAATTTAAAACTGATTTTTTTTACGACAATATCAGTTATTAATAATTATTAAGTTTTTTTTTTTTTAAAAAAAAAGAATAAATAATAATTTTAAAAAATTAAATCCATTCAAAATCTCCACCACATACTTCATTACATTTTTTAATTATTCCATCCGCTTTATATTTTTCTATTAAATCACCTATATTACCTATATTATCTAATCGACTGAGTTGTAATACTAAAGAATGTCGATCTTTCCAATTATCAAAGAAAAATTTCAAAAATTCTAATTTAATTGGTTTATAACAAAAACTGAATTTAAATCTAAATAAACTTGTTGGTGATGTTTCAGTTAATATTTCAAATAAATTATCCCAACCAAACGTATCTACCATATTACTAATAATAAATAAACCACTTAAATTTCTACAATTAACTAATAAATTTTTTAATTCAAGAATATTTCTATTTCTTAACATTAATTTAAGATATCTAAGATTAGGACATTTCTGATAAATTGCTTGAATAATTCTCTTATTATCAATCTCTTCATGAGGTATATGATCGATTTTTATTTCAATGAGTTGACCACTTGTACTTGCAATTAAACTTGTTAAAGCACAAATTGGAACGCCCTTAGCATATAAAAATTGTAAACAAGGTAAAGATGAATAATTTAAACAATTCCAAGGAAGATTTTCGTATGAATTATCCAATTCTAATCTTTTTAAATTAGCAAAAGATGAAAGAACTTTTGTAACAAGTGGTTTAGTTGATATCTTAAAATTTTCTATAGTATTTGCGTGTCTTATTAATGAATTTTCAAGAATTTTACAAAATGATTCATTGACATACAAACACTTATTTATAAAACTTATTTTAAATAAATTTCCTGCAGATTCGATTAATTTAACGATTTCATAATTATTATCATTCCCTTCAATAATAAGTTCTAATTGTTTAATTGATTTGCAAGTTTCTATTAATCCAAATAAAATATTATTATTTATGTTAGTATGACAACTGAGGAATTCAATTTCTGAAAAACAACTTTCGGTTCCAGGAATGAGACGTATTTGACAATCAAGTTGTTGAGGTATATAAAGGGTTTTATAATTTGCGTTTCCGTTAATAAAAAGGTTGATTATTTCACTTGTAATAATTGATATTGAAGATTTTTCTTGTACAAGTTCAACGTCAATTATCCTTTGGATTTCATTTAAATTTAAATGTCTACAGAAACTAATATAGTTAAATAAAGAATTTTGATATGATTCTATCAAAAAATCAAAGTGTTGACCTAAATTATTTCTGGATTCTTTTGATAAATGAGAAATAATCACGTTTAATAAGGATCTTTCCTTTCCATTCTTTAAACGTTTCCAAGGATCTTTCCATAAAATTGGAACGGTTGATTCGCACCAAGTTTTATTGACTAAAAGACATGAATAAAGAGTATTATCATCGTCTTGTAACTCTTCGAATATTAAATAAAGAATGTCATTATTTAGGTTTGACATTTTTTATTAAAAAAAAAAAAAAAATTATTTTATCGTTATTTATTTATTTTTTTTGATGCATGATATTAATTATATCGTGATTATGCAGGGCCTTTTTTGTTTACCTGTTACGTACCACATTATATTTATCTATGATACCAATGTTGTTTTGAATTTAAACGTCACTGATCATAATAATAAATAATTTTTTTTTTTTAGAGTCCAAATTCTTTATGGTAATTTGGCGTCGATCTCTTGGCGTAAAAAGCGTATGATAGAAACTTAAATGATGGAAATTTCCGAATGACATCTCCTCATAATTCCGGCTAAAAGATCTGCATGGCTTTTTTGGGTGAAACGGTATCCGGCATTAAAGAATTATGTAACGACTAATATATATTGTAATTGTGTAACGCGGAAGATCCACATAGATTGGGTCTAGAATGTCCTTGAATGAATTAAAAATATATACATACATATCTGTGAAACTATTAATTGTGTAACATGAATGGTCTAATCAACGGAAGAAAATTTAGTATTATGTATATAATGGATAATACTAAGGGACTATTACTCGGATCATTCGGACTTTTGGCTAAAAAATCTTTTTAACATGGATCGATCCGTTAAAAAAAAAAGAAAAAAATTAAATAATAAAATTTTTTTTTATTGTATATGTATAATATAATTTGTATATATATATATATATTGTTTTTTTGGTAAAAATTNAAAAAATTAAATAATAAAATTTTTTTTTATTGTATATGTATAATATAATTTGTATATATATATATATATTTTTTTTTGGTAAAAATTTTTACTGTTTACGTTCGCTGTATATAATTTGAATCAATTGATTTGGTTGGGCATTATAATTTGTCGATTGATTCTGCTTTCATTTTTATTTATGTCACAATGTCGCATCAAATATGCTTGTATAACGTAATATCATATCATATTACAAATAATTATTTATAATTTTGAGTACATCAAAAAGGTTTTCTTTAAAAAAAAAGAAAAAAAGAAAAAAAAATGTTTAGATTAAACAGAGACGTACTTTATTTAATATTTCAAGAAATTAAAGATGATAAAAAAACACTTTATTCATGCCTTTCAGTTAATAAAACATGGTGTGAAATGATCATACCAATTTTATGGAATAATCCTTGGAAATATATTAATAAAAATTGTGAACATCGAAAAAAAAAATTATTATTAAATATAATTATTTCACATTTATCAAATGAAATAAAAAATAATTTAAAAGATCAAGGTATTGATTTTTTAACAACAAATTCATATCAAAAACCTTTATTATTTAATTATATTAATTTATGTAAACATTTAAATTTAGAAGAAATTCATAAATTAATTAATTCTATTCATGAACAATCTAAAACTTTTATTATTAAAAATCAATTATTCGAACTTTTTATTAATGAAAATACGAAATTTACACATCTTTATTTACCTTATCAATTTGAACATCAAATACATCTTATACCTAAATCTGAAACTTGTTTTTCAGATATTGAATTCTTTTGTTGTAGTGCAAGTATAAACGATAATGTAATAATTGGTTTAAAAGAAATATGTAAATTAATTAAAGAATTGAAACTTTTTATTGAAGTACATAATAATAATTATGGTATTATTGAATTAATTAATAATCAAAATAATTTATCAAGTATTAGTTTTTTAATTAATTATACAGAATATTCTAGAACTTATGGATATACAAGAGCTCATGAATCATTTTGTAAAAAACTTGAAGATTCATTAATTAATCATGCTAATACTATACAATATTTTAAGACAACAAAAGAACCAATAACAAATATCATTTCAAAATTCGTAAATTTAAAAGAATTAGAATTGGATTGTAGTTATTATTATGAATGGAATTGTTTAGAAAATTTATCTTTACCATTTTTACGTATATTAAAAGCTAGTAGAGTTCCAATTAAAATTTTAACAAGTTTAATAGAAAATACAAGTGGAAAACTTAATGAAATAAAAATTGATTATATATTTCATGATGAAATTAATAATGAAAGAATTATTCAAACAATTTATAATAATTGTCCAAATCTTAAATATCTTAAATTAGTATTAAGAAATATTAATATTTTAGAATTTGAAAAATTATTAATAAATTGTCAATATTTAGAAGGTTTATTCATTCTTATTAATAATATTGAAGATGAATTTAATTTAGAAAAATTATTTGAAATATTAACTAATTCTTCACCAATTGGTTTATTTAAATTTAAATTTAGTATTTATTCTGATACAATTTTTAAATTAGAAACTTTAAAATTATTTTTTGATAATTGGGAAGGTAGACATCCAATGTTATTACAATTTAATAAGATTGGTTATATAGAAGAATATACTAATTTAATTGAAATTTATAAATCTAAAAAAATAGTAAAAAATTTTGATAATTTATTTTATGGTCATATATATGAAGATTTTGAATGGGTTTGTAAGAGGGTTAATTAAGGATATTATTTTTTTAGAAATTGTTTTATTGCAAAATAAATATAAGGAAAATATTTTTTTAAAATTGAATATTTATATTTACAAAGTAACGATGTACGTGCGTTTTGATGTAGAATATTAGAAGACTAACGGCGGTCAAGAATCGATGCCATAATGTTCATTCACCTAAATACAAAATTAAAAGGATCTAGTGACAGATTCGTGGTGATGATCATGATAATACACGGCACTTGGTTAAAGGAACGAACGTAGCGACGTAGCGTGCTCACGTGACCTAAAGGTTCGTGATCACCAATGAATTTATTTTTTTTAAAAAAAAAAAATCGTAAATTATACTAATAATAAAATTATCTATTTTTTTTGTATGCAATAATTTTATAATTTTATAAATATTATTTTATACAACACATAGGTTAAATACATAAATTAATTTTCTAATTTAATTCTTCTGAGAACTTTTAGCATCTGAATTTCATGTAGAGTTTTACGTATTTCATTGTTTTATTCTAAAATTAGATTGATAATTCTTAACTTGAAGTTTAAAGCATCATGTCTTAAGCTTACAAAAGCGTCATTTTTTTTATTCAAAAATAGGACTAATTTATGAAGCGCGTCATTGTTTCCAGCATCATTATGTGTATTGTAACAAGTTTTGCCGTTTTGAAACGTTTAAGCAAATATTCTCTAATTTTCTCTTACGTTCAATGTATATATAATACAGTACTATATAGTACAGTACATGTGTTTCTTTTACATTTAATACATCGTAACTCGCCTTGTTGAACGCCAAAAAGAATAAGAAAGTATCAAGATTAATTAAAGGAAATTTCGTCCGCATTGGCTTAGTACGGGTTAACAGTTAATTTAAGATGATTTTAGTTATCACAATGTATTACGTCAAATTTAACTTAGGACATAATCACGTTTGTGCTACACAAAGGTATTTTCATTGTATTTTAAGATGATTATTTGCATGACATTTCACTATTTAAGTAAATTTTAATATTTAGATTGAAGGGATAATGATTAATGGTAGTGAATCTTATCGTTATTTTTATACTTTTTGATAATAATCATACTTTATAAAAAATTATTTGACTCGTAAATATTTAATTTTAAATTCTACGAAGAAATAAAGTATTTACTATCAACCCGAATGTTAAATTTCTTACAACGTAAAAAACGCTAACGCTAACATCAAGGTTCTACATAAAGCAATATGTTCTACATTCGATGACATAAAGTAACTTTATCAAAATTATGCATATTAGTAGAGTACGTATAAACTGACTAAACTTTTTTTTATATCGTGCTTCATAGAGATGCGATACGAAGTCCGTCTATCCGGAATCCGGATAATCCGCCTTAAATCAGTCCCGGATTCAGATAACGGATAATTTCTGGATGTATTATCTGTTAGGATAAATCCAATCAGATAATGGTATGTATATACATAGTTGGTATGTAGTAAGAGAACGAAATGTGGAGTCACGTGATTTTTAATGCCGGCTAGCACTACCAATTTCGCCAACACTATGATTAACTGATTTCGGTCAATACATTTTAACACAATACAGATGTCATGTTTTCGATCCGTGTCGGGTTTTGATAATCAAGTTGGTTTTTATGTTAGAACTTTTACCACCATCACATTTAATATTCATAAGATGCAATTTGTAGAGAAATATTTTTAAAAATATGAAAATTACATCATTACTGGAAGTGATGAAAGAATGGAGATATACAATGCTATATATATAGAATATAATGAAGATAAAGATAAAGTTGAATTCTTCAAAATATTACTTAGGCAGTGTTTATTAAGGGGGTGCACGAGGATGTGATGAACAACAGAACAAGGTTGGCACGTCTAAGTTAAATTAAAAACTTAGCCGGATGGGAGCGCTACATCGAAAATATATTTGTCTCTAATTTAATTAGTTTCGTAGTATGTAGTTGTTTTTACAATATAGTTTAATATTTTTTCTTTTGAAATTGTATTGTTTCTATATCCTTGTCTAATAAAAAATAACAGATAAAGAAATAAAATAAAAAATAAAAAATAAACGAGTTTCTAAAGAAAAAAAATGATTCTTTTCTAATTTTTCCAATGAAGAAACAAAAAAATACTTTTTTCTTATTTTCTAGTAAAGAAATGAAAAAAAATATACATGTATTTTTAATAAAAAGACGAAAAAGAACATACCTTTTTAATAAAGAAATGAAAGAAAAAGTATTTTTTTTAATGAGGAAACAAAAACATGACTTTTTCCTAATTTCTTAATAAAAAAAAAAAGAAAAAAAAAAATATATGCGTACAGCTAATAGTAGAACTTTTAGGGAATTATTTTAAATGCATTATAATATAATATTATTTATTATTAATATTTTAATATTTTAACAGAGCATCTATTTTAATTCGTGATCCACGAGTTAACTGCAAAGGGTCTGCAGAAAATGGCCGAATTTGGAGTGGCGTCAAATAAAAGTGAAACTTTATTGTAAAAAGAAACTTTGGATTAAATATTACATTAAATATGTTAGTGCTGAATGGAATCATTATTTAAGGAATGAAAATCGAGTACTAGAAAGAAATTACTAATGATCGACATACCGAAATTTTGCAGATCAGTAAGGACTAAGGACCGTGATGATTTTGTCACATGGTCACGTGCTGACATGTTTACGTTTTTTATTATGTTTCTGAAGGACTTAGTTTTTTTTTACTAGCCTGATCTCTATTTGTCACTGCATTATATGTCACCTGTACTACCACGTTTAAAGTACTATTTATATTGTGACAGGGTAGTGTGGTAAGATTCCCCATCAGTAAGTAGTACATCGGAAAAAATATGGCCCGAAGTTCTACTTTTAGTTAGAATATTCCTTTCCATGGATAAATATCGCAAGCAAAATAAAAGTAAAAAAAAAAGTATTTCTTTTTTCTTTTCGGTAAATAAAATAAATTATTTAACCGTTGAAATAATCCAATGGAAAACGAAGTTAGTAAATTAAATATTTCAGATGGAGACACCAATATAGTTAATAATCAGAAAAATTGTTCGTATTGCAATAAGTCTTTAGCCGAAGAGTTATGGTGTAAAGAATGTGATCCATTTAGAATGATAGAAGGCTGGACCAGCGGAAATCCTGATATTGATAAGTTTGTAAAGGATACAATGTATAATGCAAGAAATCTCACATATATAAGACATCCATTTCTTGAATGGGTAACATTAGATAGATTTACAGATATAAAAGAAATTGATGAAGGTAGTTTTTCCAAGGTGTATTCTGCAACTTGGATTGATGGTAAATCGGAATATTATAAAAATAATGATGGAAGTTATAAAAAAGTAAACCTTGAACCTATGATGGTAGTTGCTTTGAAAAGGTTAATTGGATCACAGAATATAAAAAACAAATTTTTAAGTGAAGTACGTTTTTATATTAATTTATTTATTTCATATATTAGGAGTCATTAAATTTATTTTATATTCAAATTTTTATTGTAAATATAGCTTAAAATACATTGGAAAGTATGTATGTTATACGGGTTCGATTTTTATGGATTAACCAAAGATCCAGAAACTAGTGAATTTATTATGATTATACGATTTGCAGATAAAGGAAATTTGAGAAGTATTCTTTCAAAAAATTTTAATGATATGTTTTGGCAAAATAAAATTAACTTATTGCATAAATTATCATATGACCTGCAGAGTTTTCATAGTTTAGGATATTTTCATGGACAATTTCATAGTAAAAATATTTTACAAGATCATAATTTATTTTTCATTTCAGACTTTGGGTTATGTGGACCATCAAGCAAAGATAATGGTGTATATTATGGAGTAGTGCCATATATTGCACCAGAAGTCTTAAGTGGTACACAATATGAATTATCATCTGATATTTATAGTTTTGGAGTAGTTATGACTGAATTATCAACTGGAAGACGTCCTTTTTGCAATGAAAATTATGATTCAAGATTAATATTTGCCATATGTATAAATGGACTCAGACCAGAATTTGGAAAAGGAACTCCTGAATTTTATGAGGAATTAGCTTATAAATGTATGAATGAAAATCCAAATGAAAGACCAACAGCTGAAGAATTATTTGATATATTTAATTTTTGGCTTGATTCTATTAGAGGTAGAAAAGATGAAGAGGAATGTTTCAGTTACAAAGGAAAAGAGATTAAAGATGCATTTGAAGAAGCTGATAAAGAAATATCAAATATCTCAACTTCATATAAAAAAGGGTTCTGATGTCAATCAAACTATTTATAAAGAATGTAATGAATTGTTTTAGAATTTTTTTAATACGATACATCTTTTGAATATTTTTATTTTCCCTTCCATACTAATTAATTTTTTTTAAATAAATGATTATCCTCACAAAAAATCAATACAGTTAGAAGGTACTATAAACACAATTTATTCTTTGATTAAACATTTTAAAGATGCTAATATGTGTATTTGAAATAATAGGTACCGATTTTGGAATAAAATATACTGTTGATTTATAAAGGATTTCATTTATAGTTTATCTCTTAATTTATTAACTATTGTACCTAAATTTTTTATGAAATATTTATATATCAATTTAGTTAATTTAAATTTTGATTTTAAGTTTTTAACTACCAATCTATAAATATTATAATCAACTTACTTAAGAACAAGATATATCTTTTTGCTTGACTATCTTAAAATTTTGAATTATCTTACATGTTTAATCAATAAATTTTCTAAACTTTATGATACGACCATTTAAATATATGGAAACTAATTCTTGAGAGCTTCAATCAATTTAGCAATTTCATAATATCATTTATATTAATGCTGAATTCCTGAAAAGAAACATTCAGCTCTGTTTTTTTTGTAGTGTTGTATGTAGGTACCAAGTTGACGAATGGTATATATTTGTTCGGGCAAAGTTATTTTAATAACTTAGGATAGCAGTTAATTTTTTCTTTAGTTTTTTACTGATTAATTAGCTTCTCTTATGTAGTCTTTTCAATGTATTGTGTATCATTTAGAAGTCGATATGTCTCTTTATGATTGTAATTACTTCTATTAATTTCTGTCTAGTAATGTATATTTTCATACGTGTACGCTGTTGAGTCATTTTTTTTATGTCATCTCGATCTAAAAATAAAATTCAAAAAAAAATCAGTCGCATATCAGCTTTTGTTCGCTTTTTTTTAGAGTACCATGTATAAATAATTTTCAATTGTGTAACATGTCAACTGTGTAACCCTAAGGTTATACACTTATACTATAATCATGTGTAACTTTAAACATGTGATCTCTTTGATGCTGCGGTTAGTCTGCAAAATATCTGTCGATTAAAATTAAATATTACTTTTCATAAAAAATAAAATGAGAATCCATTTCGTTAAAATTTGATTGAACAAGCTATCTAATCAGATACATAAGATATAAAAATTTTTAGTTCTTTCAGTTAATTTAATTAGTAAATAGTTTGTTTAAACTTTATACTCATACGAATACAATACATACATAATAAAGTTAATTGAAGTTTAAGTTAAATAAAGAAATGAAAAATGAGTTAAATAAAAAAATATATAATTTACATGAAGATTCCACTTGCTCTATATCTCATAGTTCAGAACTAGCTTCGCTTACAAGTTTAATCATTAGGATGAAGCCCCAATGATGAACCGATATGCATTTGAAGCTTTAGATCGAACTTTGAGAGATATTATGAAGGCTTTGAATCCAAATTTAGAAGGAAAACCATTTGGAGGTGAGGTTGTATTGTTTGGAGGTGACTAGGGATGGCAACGGTCGGTCATGGTCGGTCATCAGTCGGTCATAACCGGTCAAGAACCTTTGACCGACCGACCGACCGTTTGACTGACCGGTCTGACCGACCGGTTAACCGACCATTTAACCGATCCTGAAAACGTTTGCAAAACGTTATTTAATAAAAAAACGTTTGAAATACTTTAATAAAAAATGTTTTCGCAACGTTTTCTATTAAAATAATTTAAAAAAACGTTTGCGAAACATTTTTTTATTAAATTACGTTTCGCAAACATTTTCAGGATCGGTTAAACAAATGGTCAAACGGTCAGTTAACTGGTCGGTCAGACCGGTCGGTCAAACGGTCGGTCAGAGGTCTTTGACCGACCGATATCGGTCACGGTCATGACTGGTCATAACCGGTTAATGACCGTGACCGTTGCCATCCCTAGAGGTGACTATCGGCAAATTCTTCCTGTTGCTGTAAAGGGAAGCCATCACCTTGAACGAATTTGACATTGATACGTGAAGACATTGTTGAATTATGTTTATGTCAATCTACTTTGTGGAAGCATGTAAATGTTATGAAACTAAAGATTAACATGCGTCTTTTTAATGCTACTAATAATTCTACTGAGCAAGCTGAATTTGCTAAATGGTTACTTGAGGTTGGAGAAGGTCGTGTTCCTGCAATTTTTACCATTTCATGACCTATATGACCTAATCAACTTTGTGTATCCTGATCTTTCAATGTATTCTGATCCCAAGTATTTTGTTGAACATGGAATACTTGCTCCTATAAATGAATATGTTAACTCCATCAACACTATTATCATGAATCAATTTCCTGCTGGAAAAGCATTTGAGTATCTCAGTGCAGATACAGTTGAGGAAGCAGATGATCAAAAAGAGCTTCTCTACTCTTTAACTGTTAGTGGTCTTCCACCTCATAAGTTAATATTGAAATTGGGAAGTCCAATTATACTATTATGTAATCTTCAATCAACCTAATGATGGTCTCTGTAATGGGACAAGATTAGTTTGCCGCACTTTTCAGAAGCATGACATTGAAACTGAAATAATTACTGGAAATCATCCTGTAAACCAGAGTTTTCATTCCACGCATTATGATGTCCCCTTCAGAAACAGAACTACCTTTCATTTTGTAACGTCATAGCATTTGCAATGATCATAAATAAGTCTTATGGGTAAACATTAAACTGGGTTTATATCTTTCAACTTCTGTGTTTTCTCGTGGACAATTCCATGTTGCCTGTTCAAGAGTGAAATCAAGAAAAAATTTAAAAATTCTTATTACTATACGGCATGGCAAAAATGTTACACATAATGTTATGTATCCTGAAATCTTTCAATAGAAACTGTTTAGATTATTTTATCATTCTATTATTTGTTATTTGTTCAGATAGCTCATGTAAAATACAAGAAACTGTTTTAAAGATAAATTTAATTAATATCTTACATTGCTACCTATTTTTAATTGTGTTATACTACTACAAATGTTAACCACACAAACCCGGGGCAACGCCCAGGATATCGGCTAGTTATTATTTATTATTATTTATAACCATTTACAATCTTACCACTATCACAATTGTCACAAATTTTTTTTTTTGAGGCATAGGATGAAAATAAATTTCATTTTCTTTTTATTTCAATGAGAAAAAACTAATTATTAATTTCTCTTTTTGCTTGTTACTATTTTATTTATTTTCTTGTATTATATAGAGGAACCAAGAACATGTTTATATGTAATAAGACTTGTATATATACTGTATATAAAAAAAGAATACATATACTGTATACACTGATACATCAAAAAAGATTTTTTTAAAATATTGATTTATATATATGTTTCCTGTGATAAGAGTGAAAAAGAAGAAAATAGTCCAAGCCTATTTCTGTTAAAATGAAACATTTAACCCATCTATTTCATTAAATATTTCTACTACGGGTATGAGAGACCAAGAGAAAGTGACTTAACTGTTAAAAACATAAACGGAGAACATAAGCACGAACCATATGAACCAGGTTTTTTCTTCTGAAAAAAATAATGAAAAGGGTATCCTAAGTATTAAATATATACAAGGTGTCAATTTAAAAAAAATGTTTCATCAAAATAAAAAATAACTTTTTGGTTTCCCATGCAGAAAAAATGTCCCGTTCACGTGATTTTGATGCTGATCATTTCTAAGTTAATTATCAATGATGCGTCATTCTTTTGTTAGCTTGAAGATATTGAAGATAAGAATGCCGAAAAGCCTGTGTAATGTATCTAGCTTTAATCGTAGCATTATTTTAACAAATTTGTTGATCGTACTAACTATGAAATTCAATATATGGTTAGTTTGATGCCCAAATATAGCTTAAACTTTTCCAGCATTTTTTATTAAACTCCAAGCAATCAAGCTTCAAGTATTGGATCCGCAGTTAGCTTCTTTACGGATGGCAGGTTAATATATATAAAGAAAATTAAAAAAAACATGATTCTTTTCAAAAAAAAATGATGATCATATACGTAACAAAATGGTGAGCGTAATTATTTATTAACTATGATAAAAAAAAAATTACTATGAAAGTTATCAAAAAAAATTTATTACCATAAAATAATATCACATAAAAAAAAAAAGTTATATTATTTTACCATTATCAGTTAAATAAAAAAACATCAAATGTCAATCATTATAATCAGACAAATGATATAGAATTGGCACATCTATAAAAAAATATTTTTTTTTACAAGATATAAATATAATTACATCAAAAAATATTTATAAATATTGTGACATTATGATGTCAAAGTTCAATAAAAGCTTAAATAGTTAAATAAAAGCTTAATTATCAAAAAATACTACTCTCTTTCTTTTTCATTTATATCATTTTAAAATATCCTTTTATTTTTTTTCTATTTCTTATTATCTTAATATTGAAATGGCGAATTCTAATGATGAAAGACCAGCAAAAAGCAAAAAAAAGTAATTAGTGATATTACTTTATTTACTTTTGGCCATTTTAAGTATTAAAATTTAAACATTTACTATTTAGGCGAAATTTACATATGAAAAACCTAATGATGATGATATGGCAAAGATTATTGATAGTAGCCGTTGCAAGAACACTGATTATGCCACTTCTACATGGGTTTGTGCTTTAGAAAGATTTCGATCTGATTGTAAGTATCCAGGTTAATTGAACAAGTGGATTCAAAAGATGAGTTAGAAGATCAGTTGTGCCATTTTATTCATGCTATAAAGAAACAAGATGGATCTGATTACCATACTAGTTCACTTAACAACTGTCTTCATTCCATAAACCATCATTTAAATGAGAAATCAACACTTCCCAAACCAATTAACTTATTGAATAAAGAAGAATATTACAAATTATGGAAAGTTTACAATGCAAAAGTTAAAAATCTTGCTTCAAATGGACTTGGAGCATTTAAAGGAGCTGAAGGATTTACGGAAGAGGAGCTTTTACAAATCATAAATCATCCTACAATGTCTGTAATTAATCCTATAGGTTTATTACGACACGTATTTTTTTTTTAATGCCATCCTTTTGGGACTTCGCGGTGGTGAACACTTTACACTTCAATTTAAAAGTTTTTTACGCAAAAAAGATAAATATGGTGGATTTGAAGTAATTCTCTATCATTCAAAGACTAATTAACGTGAAGCCAACAACATTCAAGCTCAAGGAGAAAAGTTGTATATTCCTAATATTCCTGAAATTATTGATATGTATGAATTATACTTTTCCAAACGTCCAACTCAAGCAAGTACGCATTTTTATTTAAAACCCTGTGGCATTAACGAATGTAAGTATTACATATTGAATGTTAATTAAAAATAAATTAATTATTGATCATTTAATTAAATGAAATTATAATTAAAACATCTCATTTTATTGCAGATGAATTTAATGGACAATGGTATTACAAGGAACATGTACAGTATCTGAAAAGGACCTTAAAACTTATATGAAACAAATTGCTAGCTGTACAGATATTAACCTGAATGATCATAAGATTAGTAATCATTCTGGACGAAAAATACTTGTCCAAATCCTGAAGAGACTTAATCTTTCTAATGCTGAATGTATGGCTAGTTCAAGACATAAGTCTGAACAAGGATTAGCAAGATATTAACAACCAGAATGTGAAATGCAGTACAATAATGCAATGAAGCTTAGTAAAGTATTTGGATTTGGTAAAAAAAATGATGTTAATTTACAATCTGGTCAGTTGTTATTTTTTGATACTTTTTATATTTTACAAAGTTTATTAAATTTTATAACTTTTTAAAAGATCAATTAACAAAAGTGCTGAATTTTCCAACAACTACACTTGAGGGCGATTTTATTACTGCTAAATCTTTAATTAATGGTATTGATTTCATTTTGTATAATGCATTTGTAACTTAATTATTAGATATTTATTTTTTTTATTAGATAAAAGTGAAGTTATTAATTTAACAGACGATATAATTAAAAGCAATTCTACGCGCCAGCCATTACAAGATTTGAATATTGTTCAAGAGAAGCCAAAACAGGGATTAGAGGAATCCCTATAAAAAATATGTATACGGAAAGGATACGTTTTGTATACATTTTATGTACGTTTCTATAGATTCCGTATACAAATTCCGTATATTTAATAAGTAATTCATTTTTGAACATTTTTTTAAAAAACTAATGTATACGGAAAAAGGAATGTAAACGGAATTTTTAAACTTAATATTTTTAGAAGATAATTTTACAAAAATTCCGTATCATAACACGAGATCACATGATTGTTTATTGTTTTGTTATGATACGTTTTTTGTTTTTTTACTTTTTTATATAAAACCTTACTTTGATGAGTTTGATCTTCCGATCTTCCTTTCTGTCTTTCCTTTCCTTTCTCTTTCTCTTGTCTTATTTTTGTTATTTTTTCTAAATTTTTCTTCTTTCTTCGTCACCCCCTTTTAATAATAATTTCTTTTTTCGTACCTCACTTTAAAAAATTTTTTTTTTCGTCACTCTCCTTTGAAAAAAAATTTTTTTTCGTCACTCCCTTAAAAAAAAATTTTTGTCTTTTATTCCCACTCTTTTTTTCTTTAAAAAAAAATTTCTTCTTTCTATTTCTATTTCCTCTTTATAAAAAAATTTTTATTTTTCTAACTTTGACGTAGGGATCGGAAAAGATTCGATTAAAATCAAAACTATCAAAAATCGATAAGAATCGATTTTAAATCGAATCTCGAATAAAAATCGAATCTACTTATTGTGGCGCAGTTTCGTTAATTTGACCGTAAATTATTATTTGTTCATAATAGTTAATTTTGGCCAAATTCATAATTCCGCCCGTGAATCACGTGACGGAACACAAACTTCCTAAAAAGGAAATTTTATCTCCCAATAAAATTCAAGTTGCTATCGCACAAGGTTGTACAAATTTCCAAAAAAGGAATTTTGTTCATCGATCACTGTAATTTTTCGTAATCACGTGATATGTGTTTAAACACACCTATTATAAATAGTATAAAAAAAAATCGGTATTTGCGAAATGATTAATCGCGATTAATCGATTTTAGAATCGATTCTAATAATGGGAATCGATTCCAATCCCTACTTTGACGTCCTCCCTTTAAAAAAAAAATTTTTTTTTAACTTTCCTAACTTCGTTATCCCTCTTTTTAAAAAAATTTTTTTTTTGGTTTTTCTTTATTCCCCTTTCTTCTTTATTTATATTTAATTTCATAGGCCAGCAGATTTTTTTTGTGAGAATATTCAGTTTCTTTTTTGTTGTAGACCAGTTTGGAAGTCCTTTTCTTTTTGTAGGATGATTCAGGATTTTTTTCTTTTTTTAGGTCAGTTCAAATTTTTTTGTTTTTTTGTATGTTGGGTTCAGATTCTTTTCTTTTTGTAGGTTATTTCAGTTTTGTTGCTTCAGAGTCTTCTTTTTTTGTAGGTCAGTTTTGGATTTATTTTGTTTTTTTGGTTTCTTTTTCATTGGACGCCTCATAATTCTTTTCTTTTATGTAGGTCAGACATTCTGGAGTTCTCTTTCTTTTTTTGTAGGAATGCTGACCTTTGGTGACTTGGACGATTGCAGATACTATATGAGGGGGGTTTTGTTTCCAATCTTTTTTTTTGTTCTTTTAGGTTGTTTGACTCCAAATGAACCTGAACTTATAGATAATTTTGGTTGCAATAGGTGGTTTTAATAAAGAGGGTATTTTCATAATGTATTTGTACTGTACTTTGTTTATTTTTTATTTTTTATTTAATTTAATAAAGTTAAATTAGATTTATGTAAATATAATTATATTAAACTGTAATACAAATAGTAAATTCAGTGACCAAATCGTATAAATTTCGTGATAAAATCAGTGATCAAATCATGTAAATTCCATATAAATCCCGTGCAAATTCCGTATCCAAACCATATTTTTGGTGATACGGAATTGTGCATTTTTCCGTATCCTATTTTGATACGTTATTTCTAAGGAAAAAAAATCGTATAAAAACTTTATAAAAAACGTATCCAATTTTTTTATAGGGAATTAATTTCAAAATTGACAGCTGATAAAGTTTTCATTAATTCCGTTGTTATTTTTAATAATAGTGGTGAATCAAATTAATAGTACTACAAGATAGTTAGAAATAGTATAAAAGCTTATCATTAATATCAATATTAAACCATATTTTATATATTATTGTAAAATATTATGCGCATAATATTGCAAACAAAATAAAAATATCAAAAACAAGATTTGCGAAATCATATGGGTAGCACGATAATTGACCATAAAGAAAAAAATATGAAGAAATATTGACTTCATTTTTAATTTAATGATTCTCATATCAAAAAAATATTTAATAAATATCTCTTTTTTTTTTAAAAAAAAAGGAAAAAAAAATTGATTAAGAAAAATATATTAGTAAAAAATATCTATTCCTTATAAAAAAATAAATAACATAAATTATTTCATATTATTATAAATTAAATAAATAAAAATAAATAAATACTATAACCAGCAAAACTCACTTTACCTTGTGTAATTCATTCAAAACTGTTGCACGAAAAAGTAATAATTTTATTATAAAAGAAACTATTGGTATTATGAGAAAAGAAGATAATACAACAATGAATTTAAAAATGATTTCCTTTTTTCCAAAAAATCCATCAGTTCCGAAATGGATTCCCGATTTTACATCTGGTGATGTAGTTAGGTTTACAGGAAAATTTCCTCACAATGGGGAACCTCCTCATGATGATATTTTGGAGGTATTTTTAATTTATTATTTATGTAAAAAAAAAATAATATCAAAGAAAATAATTATTGATTCTTTTTTTAAAAATTAAAAAATAAAAAAATAAATTAAACGCAGGTGATCATTTGACGGTAAAGTTCAATCTCTGTTTTTTTTTCATTGGTTACGTTAAAAGACAAGTACACTACCCGGCAAAAAGTCAGTAGGCAACCGTAAATTTAAATAATCGTTACGAAAATATCCTTCTATATAAAGTTTTTTTTTTAATAATTAACCTGTCCTTTGTGTAATAAGTGAAGTTGATCATTGAGTTGAATTGCACCTACTCTAAAAATTACATGAGCTTCTGAAAAAAAATTGATTGTAATATTTTATAATTTATTAAATAAATCAGATTTTTAACGGCAAGTATTTAGGTATAATATAACATTAAAAAAATTTTGCTTAATTTACGCTTCATTTTTAAATAAACTGTTTATCAAAATTTTTAGCATATTATTGCAAAGTATCTTCAAAATCAGCGAAATAGTCTGTAAGTTACACACATTTAACAAAGATGACTTGCACCTATTAGTTTTCTACAAGATATTAACTAAAGAACAAATTATGAGCTTTTTCAATTAAAAAAGTTAGAAATAATAATCAAAATCTCAAGTTTTCATAAAAAAAATTGGGCCGAATTTAATTCATTAGTTAATGCTAAAATTTTGGTAGTTAATTTGGTAATGATCGATAAATGATCGGCAAATTCAGTCCAATGGATATAATTTGTTGATCATTTCATTGATTTTGATGATACTTCGTAATAATATGCTAAAAGTTTCGATAAACATTTTTATTTAAAAAAATAAGTATGGTAAAACAAATTTTTTAATGTTACGTTATACTCAAATAATTCCATTTAAAATCTGATTTATTTGACAAATCATAAAATATTTCAATCAAATTTTTCCAAAAATTCATGTAATTTTTAGAACAAGTACAATTCAACTAGATGATTAACTTTACTTATTACACAAAAGACGGGTTAATTATTAAAAAATTAAACTTTATATAGAAAATTTACAGTTGCCTACTGACTTTTTGCCGGGTAGTGTACAAGATGATGATGATTTATTTAAAAGTATCAAACTTTAATGTTAATGAATTTGTTGGAAAGGAAAATGTTGCTGACAAATTTAATATAAAATATTAAAGACCATGCCAATTTAATTCCTGACGCAACCCTAGTTTGTAAAAATAAATTTTCTTGTACTAGAATCAAAAAATTGAAAATCCAGCATATTTATTAACGTTTCCATAAATCTATAATATGTTAAATAATTCTTATATTTTATTGAGAATAAATAATAAGAGTAGTAGTAAGAAATACTACCCCTTTGCTTCGATGACATCAATAAAAAATAACAACACTTTCATATATATATATTAAATAGAACATTAATTTATTGTATTTTAAAAACAATGCCCATAAATATAACTTAATTATAAATTAATAATAAACGATATGGCGAACTTTAAAAAAATAAAATAGAGTAATTAGTTGCAATAAACAATAAAAGTTATTCGTTCCAATTGTAGAAATACAAAAAAAATTAATTTAGGTATCTTACGATACTTTATTTTTCATCTTATTTTAAAAATGTAGACAAAGACGGGAGTCTTACAAGCTTGAGGGCTGAGCCCTTACAAAAGGAAAACTACTATACCCACTATGCGTATGAAAACCCAACTACCTCTGAAGAAGCGATTGCCTTGCCTGTTATTGTAAATAACCAGGCATGGCCAGCAATGTCACATTAAGAAAAATAAAGTAAAAAAGGAAGAAAAAAAAGAAGAAAAAAAAGAATGCCTTCTACATAATAAACCCAGACGCTGAAAGAAATTTCTATCTTCTATGAAGTTAACAATACATATAAGGGCATTACACAGCCCACTAACTAGCACCACGAAATAAAAGAGGAACGCAGGGAACAGAAAGAGTGAGTATTCTGCGAGCCAACAATGTTTAACAAGTGACTCATGGTGGGGTTGTAGTTAGATTCTAGGTTGGATCGTCTCAAAAGGAGTTGTCGAAGCCAGTGTCGTAAAGTGTTAAAGTCATCTTGGAAAAGTTTCTGATGTTTGCGGGTCTGTTTGCAGAAAATTTCTGGAAGGTTCTGTTCTTTGTATAAATTTTTCCTAAATGGAAATCCTATAACAGTTGCATGCAAATGTATTGGTTCAATCTCAAGCCAATGTTTATCAAAATATGCATGGTAATCCAAAAGAGGTAGATCGTCTTGTTGAGCACGTGACCAAGCCAGCAAGAGAGTTTCACTGTGGAATTTTTGTTATAGAAGAGCTCAAAATTTGTGAGGACCAGCTCTATAAATAGGCTGGATGTATAATTAATTCAATTGGTATTCAAACAAATCCATCTGGCATTACAAATGATATATGTGATTTCTTAATGAAAGTCACGTGACAAGCATAACGTGATTTACATTTTCTATTTATAGCCTCAGGGGCTGAAACAATATCTATTTTCTTTCTGCTTTTTAACCTCGCACAGATTTTTTATAATTATCCCATTAATCCGAGTTTATTTTCTCAAGGATTTTATTGGGCTAATTAAGCCATCAGTTTAAATATTCCAAAAAAACTTACATTAGAATTTACAAATAAGGTAAATAAAATTATTTGATAAATTTTTAATTTTTACTAATACATTATTACATTTGTATTTATATTATAGATTAAAATTAACCACGAATTTTATGGAATAACACAGGATCCAAAAACAAAAAATTATATGATGGCTGTTAACAATAAATGTAAAGAGTGTAACAAAATATGTAATGCAACGCACTTTTATCAAAATTTTGAAAATTGGACCAGTGATAATAATATAATTGATAAATTTATTCAAGATACTCAGCTATCAGCTCATTATAACACAGAAGAAGCACTAGAATGGATACCTTATGACAAATTTGATGATATTAAATATATTGTAACAGATGAGTTTGGCGAAGTATATAGAGCTAATTGGATTAATGGATATATAAATTATTGGGATGATAAAAATCAAAATTGGGAAAGAGAAGGTCATAATATGTTTGTGAATTTGAAGAATTTAAATATTCCAAAAAAACTTACGTTAGAATTTATAAATAAGGTAAATAAAATTATTTGATAAATATTTTAATTTTTACTAATGTATTATTACATTTGTATTTATAGATTAAAATTAACCACGAATTTTATGGAATAACACAGGATCCAAAAACAAAAAATTATATGATGGTTGTTAACAATAAATGTAAAGAGTGTAACAAAATATGTAATGCAACGCACTTTTATCAAAATTTTGAAAATTGGACCAGTGATAATAATATAATTGATAAATTTATTCAAGATACTCAGCTATCAGCTCATTATAACACAGAAGAAGCACTAGAATGGATACATTATGATAAATTATGCAACATTGAATATATTGCAGAGAATAAGTTTGGCAAAGTGTATGAAGCAATTTGGATTAATGGAAATATAATTAACTGGGATAATAAAAATAAAAATTGGAAAAGAAATCATAATATAATTGTCAATTTGAAGAGTTTAAATACTCCATTAGAATTTGTAAATAAGGTATAAGCTTCAGTTATTATTTAACAAAATTTATAAATGTTTATTTTCTAATATATTTTTAATTTATAGATTATAAAAAGCCATAAATTTTATGGAATAACTCAGGATCCAAAAACAAAATTTTATATGATAGTTTTGGATTATATATGTGAAAAATGTGATCATATTTGTAATTTAACATATTTTCGACGTAATTTCATAGGTTGGACTAGTGGTAATGATGATATTGACAAATTTATTCAAAATACTCAGTTATTAACTCACAACAATACAGATGAAGTATTAGAATGGATACCTTATGACAGATTGTATGATATTAAACATATTACAAAAGATGAATATAGGGCTAATTGGATTGATGGATATATAAAATATTGGAGTGATAAAAGTCAAAATTGGATAAGGGATGGAAATAAAGATGTAATTCTGAAAAGTTTAAACAATTTAAAAAGTATTACAATGGAATTTACAAATAACAGGTATAATAATTTTATTATTAGTAATACTTTGTAAATTGTAAGGCTTAATTTTTACTAATATATTTATGTTTATAGACCAATAAACTCTGTGGAATAACTCAAAATCCAGAAACAAAAAATTATATGATGGTTTTGAATAATATATGCAAAAAATGTAATTATGTATGTTATGCAATACATTTTCAACATAAATTCATAGACTGGACTAGTGGTAATGATAATATTGATAAATTTATTCAAGTTATTCAATTATTAGCTCACAACAATACAGATGAGGTACTAGAATGGATACCTTATGACAAATTTGATAATATCAAATATATTGCAGAAACACAAGTATATATTGAAGCGAATTGGATTGATGGAAAAATAAATAATTGGGATAATGAAAATCAAAATTGGATAAGAGATGAAAACAAAGATATAATTCTGAAAAGTTTAAATAATTTGGAAAATATTACAATAGAATTTACAAATGAGGTATAATAATTGTCATTTAATAAAATTTAGTTGCTTTAATTTTGCTAATATATGATTTGTATTTATAGATAAATAAGCCCTGTGGAATAACTCAAAATCCAGAAACAAAAAATTATATGATGGTTTTGAATAATAATAATATATGCAAAAAATGCAAATATGCATGTTATTCAATACATTTTCAACGTAAATTCATAGATTGGACTAGTGGTAATGATGATATTGATAAATTTATTCAAAATACTCAACTATTAGCTCACAATAGTATAAATAAGATACTAGAATGGTTACCTTATGACAAATTTGATGATATCAAATATATTGCAGAAACACAAGTATATATTGAAGCAAATTGGATATATGGAAAAATAAATAATTGGGATAATGAAGATCAATATTGGATGAGAGATGGAAATAAAGATATAATTCTGAAAAGTTTAAATAATTTGGAAAATATTACAATAGAATTTACAAATGAGGTATAATAATTGTCATTTAATAAAATTTTAGTTGTTTTAATTTTTACCAATATATTTGTATTTATAGATAAATAAGCCCTGTGGAATAACTCAAAATCCAGAAACAAAAAATTATATGATGGTTTTGATATGCAAAACATGTAATTATGCATGTTATGTAATACAATTCCAATATAAATTTAAAGATTGGACTAGTGGTAATGATGATATTGACAAATTTATTCAAGATACTCAGCATTCTAATAATACAAAGGAAGCATTAGAATGGATACCTTATGACAGATTACATGATATTAAAGATATTACAAAAGATAAGTTTGGTGAAATATATAGAGCTAATTGGATTGATGGATATATAAATTATTGGGATAAAATTCAAAATTGGAAAAGACAACGTTGTAATATGATTGTGAAGTTGAAGAGTTTAAATACTCTAGAAAATCTTACATTAGAATTTACAAATAAGGTATAATAATAAACTTATTAACAAAATTATAAATATTTTTATTTTCTCTTACTAGCATTACATTTGTAGATTAAAGAACAACATAAATTTTACGGAATAACTCAAAATCCAGAAACAAAAAGTTATATGCTAGTTTTGAATAATATTTGCAAAAAATGTAATTATGCATGTTATGTAATACAATTTCAATATAAATTTAAAGATTGGACTAGTGGTAATGATGATATTGACAAATTTATTCAAGATACTCAGTTATTAGCTCACAAAAATACAGATAAAGTACTAGAATGGATTTCATATGGCAAATTTAATGATGTCAAATATATTGCAAATGATAAGTTTGGCAATGTGTATAAAGCAATTTGGATTGATGGGAATATAAGTAGTTGGGATAATAAAAATAAAAATTGGAAAAAAGATCATAATATGGCTGTGAATTTGAAGGGTTTTAATACTCCAGAAAATATATTAGAATTTGCAAATAAGGTATGATAAGCTTATTATTAACAAAATTACAAATATTTTTTTTTATCTTATTTAGTATTACATTTGTAGATTAAAAGAGAATATGAATTTTATGGAATAACTCAGGATCCAGAAACCAAGACTTATTTATTGGTTTTGAGCAACATATGTGAGAATTGTAATTTTATATGTATTGCAAAATATTTTCAACGAAATTTTAAAAATTGGACCAGTGGTAATCATGATATAGATAAATTCATTCAAAATACTCAGTTATCAATACATTCTGATTATGAAGTATCAAAGGCAGTTGAATGGATATCTTATGATAGATTTTATGATATTAAATATATTGCTAAAGGTGGGTTTGGTGAAATCTTTAGAGCAACTTGGCTTGATGGTTATATTTGGTATTGGGATAGTGAAAAACAAAATTGGAGAAGAAAAGATCAATATAAATATGTGGCCCTGAAAAGATTAAATAATTCAGAGAATGTTACATTGGAATTCATGAATGAGGTACTATAATTAAGTGATTTGTAAATTTATAAAATTTTACTTTTAATAATGTATTTTATTTATTTGTAGATTACATTGCATTATAAAGTAAATGATCTTTTAAATTCTGTTATTAAATTTTATGGAATAACTCAAGATCCAAAAACAAAAAATTATATAATGGTAATGAATTTTGCAGAAAATGGAAGTTTACGAAAGTTTTTAGATGAGAGTTATAGGCAATTAAATTGGTATGATAAGATTAATTGTTTATGGATTATTGCATATGGACTTAATCTTTTCCATAAAAATGGATTGATTCATCGAGATTTTCATATCGGAAATATACTTTATAAGAGTCAAACACGTATTTATATAAGTGATATGGGATTATGTAGACCTGCTAATTACAATACATCAGAAATTTCAAAAAACAGTATATATGGCAATTTACCTTATATGGCTCCTGAAAATTTACAAGGACAAAGTTATACTACTGCTGCTGATATTTATAGTTTTGGTATAATTATGTACGAAGTAATTTCTGGATTACCTCCATATTATAACATAGGGCATGATGAAAATTTAGCAATAAGAATTTGTCAAGGACTTAGACCAATATTTGATATTAAAGTGCCTCAATTGATTGTGCATTTAATTAAAAGATGCTTGGATGCAAATCCATTAAATCGGCCAACAGCAAATGAACTTTATAAAATTTTGCGCGAGTGGTATGATAAGCGAAATGATAGTCAGACTACAGAATTACAAATACAAATTGAAGAATCAGAAAAAGCAAATAATAATTTATCGATGAGTAATATACCTTCAACTAGTTTAGGATTATCATATAAATCACATTCAGGTGCTTCTTATTCAAGTAGATTACTTAATTATAATAATCTTCCCGAACCAAAAAATTCTGATGATTATTATGAAGAAAATGATAATATAATAAGCATGGAATCTTCAGGTATATGATTGATAAATAAAATATTCAAATTAATTGTGAAAAGATTTTTAACAGAATTTTTTAAATAGAATCCTTACAAATCGATATTTCTCAATTGAAAATTGATGATAACGTAAAAAGCAAAGATTATTCTGAATACTCGGGTATTAATTTATTTTTAAATATTCAAAATGTGTAATAATATTAATTAAATTTTAATCCATTATGTAGAATCTGACTTACAAATTAATGTTATTATGAATGATTGAACTGGACGAAAAATGTTTAAATTCTAGTTTATTGGCTTCTCATAGACCTTTAGAAAAATCTTAAACAAGAATTATAATTATTCTGAAATTTATCATATAAATATTATCTAAACGAAAAATTAGTGCCTTTCTATAGTCAACTTATATACTGCCTTTTTTGTATTTTCTTTATTTAGTTGTTCCTCAAAATTTTTACTGTTTTAAAATCAGGTTTTTTAACGGTATATATCTTTCTTTTTTTAAATCGATCAATATGGACCGTTGATCAAATAGGAAGAAATGTGGATGATGTTAAATAGTATTTTATTATTATAAGTATATATATTTATTGTATCTAACTTTTTTTATAATAAAAATCTTAACGTGAAAAACTATTATTTATCATTATAACTATACAGAAAAATGTAACCCTATAAAGTATCCTACCAATTACATCTCACGTATTGTTTATAATACCTAATTTACTAGTAAATTATTGAATTTATGCAAATTAAAAGTCAACTTAATAATCTTACTGAACCTAACTCAAAATAGGATCGATATCATAATCATAAACTAACTTGATCTATCAACCTGTAATTTTTTGATAAACAGAGCTGAATGAGCTTTCTCATCCCTAAATAGCAACCAACATTATCAAATGTCAGATTTGAATATCGTATAACTGAATGTCAAAATTTGAATAAGCTTCTTGAATTTCTAATGAAAAGTCATTATTTTTTTCTTCACGTAATTAATTAATAATATAAATGTAATTTTGATTAAACAATCTGCAAGAAATATGTACTGTGTGATTAAATTAATGTGAGCTATGGCTTAATTTTTTTTCAAAAAAGTATTTATACATTTTGTAATTTGTAAAGGTTTATTTGTGGTACATGACCATCTACATTTTTGTTTGTTAGTTATAAATCAAAGTATAAGTACTATATTTAATGATTATAATGATTATTAGGCCAGGTTGCCTTTTACTACTAGTAACAATTATCTACAGTAATTATTGAAATTATTATCGTGGTTCCTTGGTTGTTAATGGAATATTTGTTTTATTTTATTTTATTACTCAAAGGAGTATAGACAAGATACCTAGAATTATTTAAATGGTACAGGTATAATGCAGATGTGGTTACTGTTAACAAGATCGTTGCAGGTACAATTCAATTTGTACCAACGGTACCTAGTACCCACAACCCACCGTACCTGTATCACATTTGTTTAAGGGATTGGAATCGAAAATCGAATCTTTTCAAGATTTTTCTTATAGACGACCAACCTGACTTTGAATCAGTTTCTAATTTCAGCAAAAATAATCAGCACTTGGCCGGCATGAAAAATTACTTTGAAGTCAGGTTAACTTATATGTAAACAAGTTAACATTAAACATGGCAGGGAGCTATAGTCATAGTATAATTAGAACTGTAATAATTCTGACTTTTTTTTTAATTAAGTTGGTTTATACTACTATACAGTATCATAATTATTATGATAAATAGTTTTTAAGATTTAAAGAGAATTTCTAAATTTTAACTGGTGGAAAAATTACTGGTAGATCATGTGATTGTGTATTAAATATTCATGTGATTTATTATGATGATGCAATTTCATTTGGCTCGCTTCGCTCGCCGGGCTTT